TTTATGGTTCGTAATCATTATATCTAGTACATGCATTAAATAGACGTGGCTTTATGATAACCACGAGCCAAAAAAACTACTTCATAGCTACGTAGCTTCACCCACTCTCATTGACTTTGAGATGGGGCAATTTCGTCTAAAAACTAAGCATTTGGTTACTTGTTTCATTACGGCATTTGGATGGCTATATGCTTTAATAGAAAGCTCAATATGGTCATCAAGTTAATTCACCCAATTAATAATCATGGAGTTTTTTTTCTTCCAAAAATAATAATAATGAAATTATAAAGACTATCTTCATATGGATAAAGAAATATAATATGTAAATTTAAACGTTACAAAAAAGGTTTTATAAAGATGTCTTTTTGAAAAAAAAGAAGAAGACAAAGATGTCTTGATAACACTGAATATCCAACTCCAGCTTTCTTTGGAATTTCTAAACCTGATTTTTAAGTGAATAATGAATATCCAAGAACCCCAACGACCAAACTCATGGAAATGTCCAATTTCTCTTACAACTTTTGTTTCTTTTTAGGTTGAAAAATTTCTAACAACTTTTTAACAGAGCATAAAGTCGCTATATTTAAAGTTGTGTTACGCAAACAACATCATTTCTGTTACAGTCCAATCCCATAAAATCTCTAAACCCTAAAAAGTTTGTTACCCGCAGCCCAAGTTAATCAAAGCCCTAACCTAGAGTCTCCCTATATCTCTATATAAGGTCACGAAAGTGAGGAGAAAAATCAGAGTTGCACAGTTAGCAAAACCCTATTGTTTTCGCTCTAGCTGTCTTTACCTTCTCAGTTAAGCTAGTTCCGAGTTGCTGTTTTGTGGGACTGATTTCCGGCGGTTCAAAAGGACTAAAATCGTGATACTTATATCTCTGGAAAGATCACGGATTCTAGTTTCTGTAGCTTCTTTTGGATTCGAATTACGAGGTATAATCTGCTCACAAATCGTATTTGAATATCAGGAAAAATCACTGTTTTCAGAAATTGAAATTCATGTTTTTAGATTCGATCAGCGGACTTGCGGGCTTGTTTACTGTCGATCTATAAGGACCCAAGAGATGATCTATATATCATTGGAAAGCTCCGAGTCTTAGCTTCCCAGAGACACCAAGTTCGGGTTTAGCAGAGGTATACGTAAGAAGTTATATATGTTTTTGTCAGACTGGTACATGCTGGCCAAATCGATTAAGTATTTTAGAAAGTTTAATAATGGAATATTAAACTTTATCTCTTGAATGCAGATCAGCAGTAGCTTATCCTTCCTGTTTCAGTCTTCCGTTTCAATCCAATCAACAAGGCTAAGGTGAGGGTGAGATTCATGCTACTTTAATACTAGTTAACATTAGGTGTTCTTACATGCTAGTGTACGAATGGAATGTTTATTGTTGAATGGTTTATGTGCTAAGTCTAG